GCCCTGGGCAATGTGAACTACAACTAACAAACCACCGGCGAACGTTGTCCTTCGAGACGCAACCTATCGAGATACCGAACCGCGCGCCGACGCAGGCGACACCTGTTGAGAAAGGCGCGCACACCTTTAACATCGACGGCGCCTCAACACCGGCTGTACCCAAACACAAACGTGCCGTCTCGTAGCGGAATGCCAACCCCGTGACTCACAACCTCCGCTGCGCTGTTCTGATTCGGCACGATCTGGGCGCCGCTACGGCTCCTTGCTGGTTTTCGCAGGAGATGAAACCCCAACGCATGAATCAACTTCGTTTCATAGTCAAACCTATTGACTTGAAAGGGTATGACTATGCAGAACGTATCACTACAAACCGCCGTCAAAATGACAGGCAAGAGCGAAAGCACCATCCGGCGAGATGTCAAAAAGGGCAAGGTATCCGCGGGACGCGACGCTCGCGGGCATCTGCAATTTGACGTAGCAGAGTTGCAACGTGCCTATGGCGAACTGAAAACCACCGGTGAGGATGCCCAATCAACTGAACAGGGCAATGGCAAGGCAATGACCGGGCATGACAGCGCAGAGATTATCGCTTTATTAGAGTCGCAAGTTGCTGATTTACAAAAGCAGTTGACACGGGGGAACGAGAGAGAGAATAAATTGATAACACTATCCGATCGACTTCAAAAACAAAACGAGGTATTGATGTTGACAGGCGAAAAACGGGGGTGGTTTATGAGACTGATAACAGGAAATTAGAACCATAATTTACTTGACAAAAAGGGTCAAAAACTGTATAATAATTAGACCAGTTGGCGAGGACTTATCAACTGCGCGCTTGTGCAGTCTCCTCGCCCACCGACTTGATAAGCGGTTAAAAGGCTGGTAACTGGTAACACAATGGCAACGATTTATAGATGGCGAAACCTGATAAACGGCAAAGGTTACACTGGCAAGACTACGCAGGATGTTGACGTGCGCGATAGCACCGTCGAGTCAAAACGCAACTTGCCTATTTTTCACCTATCTGATACACTCTCATAACCAGTTTGGGTGGCATTGCTACGAGACGGATCCCATTCCGTTTCTGCCACCCTCCTCCGTAGCAAGGGGAGAAAGGACTGGAGACTGGAAAACCAAGATGAACATGCTATATTATTAGGTGCCACTTGATGTGGGTGTTAATCTATTTTTAGAATAATAGAAAGGGAAGATTATATGAAGAAGGTGTTTAAGATCGGTTGTCTTTCATTGTTAGGATTATTTGTTATAGGGCTTATTGGATCTTTTTTCATCTCTGATGATGATACAGGGAAATCTCCATCCGTCAGGGAAACGGTCGTGGAAACTCCACAACGTAATGAGAAAAGCGATTTTGAGAAATTAGCATCTAAAGTAGATACCTCGGTGCATGCGATAGATCTTATCAACGAATACGATGCTAACGAGTTTGCGGCTGATGACAAAGTGCACTAAAGAAAGTAAAGACTGCGCGTGCGATAAGAGCCGCCCGGCTTCGAGGTACAATAGCAAGCCCGCCACCCACACCCATGCATGTCAAGACGTTAGGAATGGGCATTTCCTTCGGTACCTTAACCTGAGACTGTTAGTTTCATCATCATGATGTGTGGTTTCGTTGTGTGAATGACAAAAGGCCAAAACAAAGAGCCAAAACATTCCAGTATGGCACGCAGACGTATCGAAAGATCAGGATGTTCTAGTGATTGGAGAGGTCACAGGTTCAATGGCGGGGTTAAGTGTTGATATGAAAGACTGTGCAGTTATGTCCATTGCAGATTATCGGAGCGAGTACGACATAGGATTCGCTATTTTGAACAAAAGTTTAGGAAGGCTCAGAGTTTAGACGGATTAATTCACAATACAATTAGTACACTATTGGTGTTGATAGCTCGACGCTCATTCTCTTTACGCACAGTCCGCTTCCTAATGCTTTCCTATCCCTCAGCAATAGGAGCCTCCACTTCATCCTTTCCCCTTTCTATCCAACCCTCGCCGCACTGAACCGCCTATCGTGTGTTAAAGGTTGATTCTCATTTCGGTATAGAAATAGAGTAGTACGAGGAAACAACACTGATACATCCTACTGGAATTGGATAGGTTCGACCCCATCCGATCTGCCTCCTGACTACTTGAACGATCTCATAGTGGTGAGTGGTGCTACCATTCGCTTTGGTGAGAAAAGAAAGAAAGAATCACTCGCTTCAAGCGGAACGTCCCTACCGTCATACGTTTAGACCTACAGGGCCCAGAGGGGTTATTTGTGAATCTGGAACTGATTCGGTTGGGCTATGTGAAAGCGAAACAACACGCTGGAGATCGGATGCAACTATTACAGCATTATAGAGACAGAGCGGATACGCAAGGTAAAGGATTGTGGCATAAGGAACAAGGAGGTGCGTCAAAGACAATTAAGCGTAAAACACTTTGGGATGTCGCTAAATAGTACAGCAGGTCATTAGTGAAATCCGTTTGTTTTGCCAAGACAATAACGATCTCCTGCGCGCAGCTATCAAACGAATCTTGGAGAAACCGGAGAGAATTTATGTCAGAAAATAAAATTAAGTTTCTCGTCCAAGGTTCATCAGACGAACCTTATGACGTCATATTTTCCAAAGCAAAGAGGGCGGGAGGTTTCACTACCGCGTCCATGTACGTGTACTGCTGGTCAATATGGTCGGTGCTGCAAACATCGACTTAACATTTATGCAGGAGACAACGAATGGCCATTGTGAGTGACACTCTGAGGCAGTGGTGGGATACGATAGGATATTTTTAGGTAAAATCTTGGCTACCAGGATCCCATCTTGAATCAGCTCTGAGCAATGTCAAAGAGGCGGAGAGGATTGCAGCCGAAGCCAGGAGGAATTTATCATCGGCGAAAACCAGACTCGCTCAAGTTATGGAATATGGATAGAACGCATGAAACACAGATTGGACGTGGAATTAGACTTTATCACAGATTTATCGCCAGTGGAACTCGCGTCGAGGATTGCTCCGATCGTTCGCGAAGTCGTTGAGGCGATGCGTCAGTCTTTGGGCTGTGAGCTGGAGTTTGATATTTTCCTCGTGCTGGATGGGCGCGAGGTGCGTTTTGTGCTTGAGCCGGTATGAGTTGTACTGAGAGAATTAGAAAGTATGAAGAATTGTTGAAAAAATTAGGAAGTTTGTGATGGTTGCACTTATTGTTTTAATAATCGTAGTTTTCGCTGTTTGTATGATATGTATCTGTACATTTTCTCGCATGAAATATGATTCAGTTCTATATACTTTTTTGTGTCAAGTTCTGCCGCCCGTATTTGTGCGTAAGTCTCATCTTCCTTTCATTGGCATGTTGTCTGTGGATCCACTCGTTGACGGAGTACTTTTTCTTTTCGTAGTGATGGGGGGGCTAATTGGGTGGGGACTCATGATGATTTTCGGTGGTTTAATCTTAGAGTTTATATTTGGAGTTGACTCTGACATTTCTTTTACAGTGTCATCTTGGATTAGTTTTATTTTAATAGGGCTTGTTCTCGCGCTAATTGTATGGGCACAGAAATCATCAGCCACCCTCCCACTGTAGCAAGTGGATAAAGGACTGGGACTGGAAAATCCAAGATAGACAATAGTTAGCTGATAGCAGATAGAGGAAACACCTATGTACGAAACCGAACCCTGTCGCGGTGATAACGTCGCGAGAGATGCGACGATTCTCCTTCCCCGACGACTCTGCATCGCACTGATCGCCACCGACCCCCCTTTCAACTCCAAGCGCAACTATTTCGTCCCCTACCGCGACGCACACGGACAAGAGAGACCCGCCCTACACCTTATAAGAGCGTGTCACAGATCTACCTGGACCTGGGCGCATAGCCGCGCACAGAGGATGCAGACATACCAGCAACCAAGCAAATCTACACACGCGTGGGAAGGCAGGACAGATCGGCAATACCACTCAAGGACTACGCCAGTTCCTCAACGAAACGCCGATGATGGCTTACCTCGTTATGATGGCGGTCAGAATCGTCGAAATGCACCGGATCCTCAAACCCACCGGGAGTCTATACCTCCACTGCGACCCTTCCGCCAGCCACTACCTCAAAATCATTCTGGATGCGATCTTTGGTGCGAGTCATTTCAGAAATGAGATTGTCTGGCAACGCACCTCCGCGCATAATGACGGCAATCGCTTCGGCAGAGTTCACGACATCATCCTGTTCTATAGCAAGAATCCGCAACCGTTATGGAATCCTGTCTATACAGAACACGATCCAGAATACGTAGAAAGGTTTTATCGCCACGAAGATGAAAGAGGTCGTTATCAAGTTGGCAATCTAACGGCAGCGGGAACGACTCAAGGCGATTCAGGTCAACCGTGGCGAGGTGTGGATCCAACTGCTGTGAGGTAGGCATTGGGCTATACCACATAGAAATTCGTGGCCCGAGGGCGTTGAACCGCCTGAAAACTACGAATCTCTCTCAGTTCACGAAAAGTTGGACGCGTTGGACGCGAATGGATTGATTTATTGGCCACCACGGGTAGGGTTCCACGGTTCAAGCGATACTTATCAACGTCAAGAGGGAGGAGGGTAAACGATGTCGTTACAGACATAAATCCGCTGACAGAGTAATTCAAAAGAACGCACCGGCTACCCGACCCAAAAACCGACTGGACTCTACAAACGCTTCATCACAGCCTCGTCAAACGAAGGCGACCTCATTCTCGACCCGTTCTGCGGATGTGGCACAACACTCGTATCTGCGGAAGAACTCAATAGACACTGGATCGGGATCGATCTCACCTACCTCTCGATCGGTGCCGTGAGACAACAATTTGAGCGGTTATTCCCGCAACATCGGGAGAGTGTTACCGTCATCGGTACACCCGAAAACGAGGAACAGGCACTCAGACTCGCACACGACGACCCACACGCCTTTGAGGAATGGTGTGTCACACATGTCTTACACTTTAGACCGAATGAGAGGCGAGGCGGAGACGGTGGAATAGACGGCACTTTCAGATTCCCACTCGGAAGGGTTCAAGGCAGGCAGGCGTATGGCAAAGCCGTCGCACAGGTCAAAGGCGGAACCTACACACTCGGCCACATCCGAGACTTCCGCACCGCCATGCAGAACATAGAATCAGATTTAGGCGTTTTCGTCGTAACAACTCCTCCAACACGAGGCATGCTAACAGAAGCCACACGCGCAGGAACATACCGACACCCATTCTTAGACATGGAAATCCCCGTCCTACAAATCTACGAGATCCAAAACTATTTCAGAGGCATTCCCCCAAGACTCCCCTTTGGCGAAAGAGTCGTGCTGTGAAAAACAAAATTGATAAGTTTCTGCCCCAGCAGAGACACATGCAGGCTCAAAATTCCAAAACGAACTGATAGGCAATCAGATAATTATAATTTTTACTTGACTTTTTACGTAAAAGTTGGGTATAATTATTATCGGATGGCTGGCAACAGTCCATCCCGGGAACTTATGTTCTCGTAATATCAAAGCGTTGCTGCGGAGAGGTGTCCAAATCTCCTTCAAAGGGAGATTCCTCTCCAATGCTAATCCTTTGGACAGGGTTATAGCTTTGATTTTGGAAGCCGTTTCGTCGCCCTTTGGCGGAATGAAACAGCAACGCAATACCACTTTTCTATATTGGTTTTTACTGGAAACAGCGCCGCTTTGCACTTTCTTTGCATCTGCGGATCACTGTATCTTGACATAGGTTTTGAAATGCATATCGAATATACCGGCATTCTCTGGAAACCCGCCATGCAGAGCCTTTTTCTATCAAGGAAGGTTTTTGTATGAGCCAGCAGATATATCTCCCTCTTAGCGGGCGTTACCCGATCCCTTACGAGTTTGAGGCTGACACGATGCCAGTGCCACGCGGTCATTCCAGTGTCCTTTGGGAACTCCGAGACGGGAATCTGACAGCAGCCCAAGCAATGATTTATCTTTGCATGAATCACGGAAGCACATGGGCTTCAGGTGCAACGTGGCCCCTGTCAGCAAGGTATTTATCGGAACAACTCAGTCCCGGTATGTCGCATCGGCACGTGAGGAATCAAGTCGCGAAACTCTCCGATAAAAACTGGATCGAGACGATTGACGATGAGAATCCATCGGGAAAACGGTATCGGCTCCGACATTATCTCTGTGATATGAAGATGTACCTGTTGATGGAGACGGCAAACCCTTGACGTTTGCTGTGCCGCGCGGTCCCGGTGGACCCATTGAACGCTGTTTTGAGGGCGACATCTCGTGGAAAGCGGCGTTGGCGTGGATTTCGCTGAAGTTGAAATCCAACTGGAAAGCATCCGAGGACACCGCAGGGCAAACGGAAAGTGCAACACTTCTCGAACTCTCCAAGCGTATCCGAATCTCGCTACGCAACTATCAGAACCTTATCACCGAGTTAACACAAGCCGGCATGCTCGAACGGCTGACACCCAAATCGCAAGCGGCAATCTTTCAGTTGTATCCCATGCCTTTCCCGAAGCCTGATGCCTCGAGGAAGCCGATCCGACCCGAATGGGTCAAAGGCAAAGCCATTGATACCGATGGCGATTACTGGTTTTCAGACAACAAGCAATACCGATGCCTGTTGGACGACTACCTCGCCATCGAGAGACGGCAACGCGGCGGCGGCTGGAAACAAGTGAGTGAGTATCATAAATACCAAGAGATGCCTCAGTCTATTCTCCGAGATTTTGAGCGTGCTGTTGAGGTTCATCGCGCTGTTAAATCTTCTTTAGAATTATAAATATATATGGGACGCGTTCTTTGTATATAAATTATTTCTTATATAAAGAGTACTTATATAGCGAAAAACGCCCTTTCTGCGAACCCAGTAAAATCAAGGGTTCAGATACTTATCAGAAATAAGGGGATGGCACTATGGGAATTTTGCATGGCACTATGGGAATTTTGCATGGCACTATGGGAATTTTACTCGTGTTTTCAAGCCTCCGAAATCAGGCATCACATTTTTTCTCGTTGACACCCAAGTCCAAATATGATTAACTCTCTCCATAAGGAGACACCCCGTGAAAACCATTATCGCCCTCTCGATACTCTTTTCTACGATCGCCTGGCTTCCAGTCGGTGCCGAACTAACGGAAACGGATTTGGAGAAGATCCGTCAGATAGTTCGAGAGGAATTGCAGGAGGCATTCAGGGATACCCATGTAGCCCTCGATGAGATGGATGCAAGTCTCGGTGAGATAGACGCGACCTTTGATGAGATAGACACACATTTTGATAGCATCAATCGGAACCTCGATCGGATGCAAATTATGCTTTGGATTGCTACGGTTCTGGTCGTGGTTGCCGGGGTTTTTAATTGGATGTCCGTTTTCAAATCGTGGCGTTCGCGGTAGGGTCTCCGAGAATCAAAAAGCGACTTGCCTTTTTACCCCCGAATCTGATATAATATGCGTGTCCAGTTTTGGGTGGCACTGCAAAGCTTGCCGCAAGGCATGTCTGCCACCCTCCCACCTTTGCAGGGGGATAAATGGACTGACACTGGAACACCCCATGAAAACCATTCTCGCCCTCTCAATACTCTTTTAGCTGCGATCGCGCTGCCAGCCTCGGTGAGTTGACCGACGCAGACCTCGATAAAGATTCGCTTGATCGTCAAAGATGAAGTCAAAAGCGAGATCGGCGCATCCGAAACACGAATGAAGTCGTATGTTGATGCGAAAATAGACAGTTTGAAAACGCCTGTCACATGGTTAATAGGGCTTCTTGTCGCAATCATCGCGGTCATAGGGCTTCCATTAGCAATTCTGACAATCTTTTTAGGCTGGCGGAGCATAAAGGACAACACACAAGAAAAACAGATTGAAGTGCTCACACAAGAAATCGAAGCACTCAAACAACAGCGAATCGTAAACCCCTGACACGCGCCAACTGCAAATCTTACACTATGAGAAATACTGCGCGAAATCATCATTACGTTCCACAATTCTATCTCAAGGGATTCTCGGATCCTAACCTACAAAATGAACAACTTCACGTCATTGACAAGGTTGATAGGCGGCGTTTTGTTACGATTCCTCGTAATATAGCATCACAACGTGACTTCAATAGAATAAATTTACCAGATCACTCTATTTGACGAGATTGAAAGACATTTGGCTCAAATTGAAAGTCGGGTGGCACCGGTGTTGATATCTATAGCAGAAACAGGAACATTACCAGAGGACGATATAGATATGGCTTACCTAAGCGTTTTTGTTGCGATTCTTTCTGCAAACAACCCACAAATTCGGAATAGACTCATCAACAGAGACCGAGAAACTTCAAGACAAATGATGCAGTCCGTCGTTGCGAGCCAAGAAGTCTATGAATCTCGCCTATCATATACCGGAATGGAAGATCAAATTGGATATGAGGCAGCGAAGGCATTTGTCGAAAGCGGGAGATACACCATAGATATTGAAGATCCGGGTGGTTATTATTTGGCGGTCGTGTTTTATGGTCTTGATAAGTTTGTGTTACCACTCTTTTCCACTATGGATTGGTCTTTTAGTAATTGCTGAAGAAGGTGAGACTGATCTCATCTGCTCTGATCTTCCGGTTGTCTTA